AAAGAAGGACCCACAGAGGACGTTTCCAGTTATCAAGTCCACTGTAGGGGGTACAAAGGTGAAGCTTTCGCAGAAGAAATTGGGAGAAAAGCTTCGCCTTCCCAATTCTGGAGTTGAAGTTGGGAAATTTCCAGTCAAAAATCTGGACTGGAACATCATTGGAATCTCTGGGCAAATTCCTTCTGGCCCAGCAAAGAAAGCAGATCTCAACAATGATTACAAGTTGATTTTGGAACTGGTCATCGCCTGCCTCGAGTGTGGAAGTGGAGGTCATGCCGATGACATCACCCAGGAGAGAGCCTTCATCATCAACGCTCTCATTGCCAAAACTAAGATAAACTGGGCTGCACACTTTTTCAATTCCATCTCAAAGCATTTGGGAAAGCCCAACCAGAAATATCTCTGTCAAGGACTATACCTTGGACACATTTTGGAGTCTATGGGTATTGCTTCTAAAGGAAAAAGTATGGAGAAAGATACTGGTTATACTATCTGTCTTCAAAAGGAGAAAACAGAGCCAGTGCTAGTGCAACTGCAGAAGAAAGCTCATCAGATAATGTCCCACTCATCCACATGGCAAAAACAGCCAAAAGAAAGCAAGTGGTGTCCCCCTCTCCAAGTGTTGAAGCACAGAACCTTGCTTTGATCTGCTTGGAAGAGGAAGAAGAAGTCTCTGACCATGGAGAACTTCAAAGGAAGAAGAAGAGAAAGATCAACTCTTCATCAACATCTGGAATTGTCAATCCGGATGAGTTGAAGGAGAAGGAAACTGCTGAGGAAACCTCTGTTCAAAACCGGAGCCCTCAACAGTTTGAAGAAGAAACTCCTCAAGTCCCAAGCCTTCCAACCCCCCATCTCAGCCTCATACAGATGATGCTGACAACAAATTCTGGCAACTCTACTATAATTGGAGACCTTGGAAAGTTGGAAATTCAGAAGAGCAGCTGTTGGATTGGGACCAACAGCTGAAGAATGAGAAGATTATCAAGAAGTGCTTAGGTATTCCAGTCAACCACAACTGTGAAGATATTTTGAATGATTACTGGGTATGGCAAAAGAACCCTGAAGACCTGCATATGGAATACCTGGCCAACACACCAGTTTCAGACTGTGAAGCATATGATGAAGACACTGCAGTCTTCAAGCCAGTCTTCTCAAAAGCCACAGAAGATCAAATGGCTCTCACCTCTGAAGAAATAGCTGGTTTGGAAGCAACAGCTGAAGATTTCCCTATCTTTCCAGAAACCTCACCTGCGTTTGAAATAGTTCTGACTGAAACTGTTCAAGAGAAGGCAGCCTCTCCCCCACAAGAGCAGAACCAGGAAGCAACTGAAGAAGAAGAATTTCAGCGACTGATCCAATCTCAAGTGCTCGAGATCCTCACAACTCCTTGTGAGATCTCCAATCAGACACAACTTGAGATTCTAGAAAAGTCAGCAGAAATTCCAGAACAGTCAGCTATTCTAGAAACCATGGAGAAAGCAGTAGAAGTCCAAAGGCACTCTGGAAAAGTTGAGAAGGAATCTCAGATGGCAGAAGTGGAGGTCTCTCAAACTCCAATAGCCATCTTTGAAGAACCAAATGAAGCTGAAGATAGTGACTCCCTCTCTAGATACATATCAAATTTTGCACTTGATGAAGCAGAAGGAGAATCTGAGAGGACACTAAAGGTCACTGATGAAGAAGATGTACAAGAAGATGCTGAATCTCTTCCTTTGCAACTCTTCCAAAGGACATCATCTCCTCATCAGGTAACCAATTTTCACTTCCATAGCTCTTCAACCCCTACCCTTCCGGATGAGATACCGGAAATCTGGACAAAGAAGGTCCAAGGGCTGATTGAATCAGCCCTAGCATCTCAACATGCCTCCTTTAGGCAAGAGATAGAGCTAATGGAAGCCAAACACACTCAGCTGATAGAGAAATCTGAAGAGAAACACAGCGCTGATCTCAAGGAGATAAGTAAATCAGTAGAAAAGACTCTAGAGATCATCTCTCTATTGAGTAAAACTGTGAGCAATACGATGGAAATATACACCTCTGACAGTCAACTGCAATTCAATGAATTCAACAAAGTCAAGGAGCAAATAGCAAATGTCACAGTTGGTCTACAAAAACAGATGTCCCTTCTCCAAATGGACATCAGATCAGCCCTAGCAATAGCTTCAGCAAATCAGGTAGTAACCAAAGA